GAATGAAATAAATGCACAATAATTGCTTTTAATCCCTCCTTTTCTGCAAGTAGGTGGAGAGAACTGGCATCAGTGTTTTTAAGGTCTATTGAACCTTCTTCTTATAATTTCCCTTGACTTCAGTAAAAGACAGATTTGGAAGTAATTACAAAAGGAAAGAGAGCTGGAAAGCACTGGCGGAAGATGATATTCTATTAATATCCATTGCTCAGAGTTCTGTTTGGTATCATTTGTCTGAGGAAGCCAGTACTTTCTCTTAAGCAAACAAGTTTAGTTGTTAAAAATCCAGCAATTACTCTAGAATGTGTTTATTATATTCTTAACACAAAATAACAGATATTAAAAATATTAAAAATATTTATGCTAACCGGTTTGGCTCAGTGGATAGAACGTCAGCCTGCACACTGAAGGGTCCCAAGTTCTATTCCAGTCAAGGGCATGTATCTTGGTTTGCGGGCACATCCCCAGTAGGGAGTATGCAGGAGGCAGCTGATCGATGTTTCTCTCTCATCGATGTTTCTAACTCTTTATCTCCCTCCCTTCCTCTCTGTAAAAAAAATCAATAAAATATATTTTAAAATATTTATAATTTTTCTGTTTATAATAAAGTTATAGCTTTAATGAAAGCCAAACTTATATTTCAAATCATTTATAATGAACTAACAATACTGGTTCAGTTATATTTGCCAAGTATTTTTGTTGCTCTCTCACCTCAAATTAGTATGTACATCTTGAGCAGACTGGAGATGTGTCATTATCTGTTACATTTATGAATATTTTATTTTAAATACAGATATATGAACATATAATACCAAGAGTATATTTCTAAATCAGCAACATGTTTTCCACATTTAAAATGTTCATTTTGAGTTTATTTGAATTCTTACAGGTATTTTTTGGTTAATTGTTTAACTGAAGTCAAGCATCTTACAAATTATGGTACCATAGTTTTGATTTGTACTTTTAATAGTAAGTTCTTCAAATTATTATGGAATGATGACACATCTTTTCAAAGCTAACCCACCTATAATCTAGCTTCATTATCATTTAGGAGATAAAGACCTCAATCAAATAAAGTCAAGATATTTTGACTTGAAACATTTAACCCAGGCAACTAATTTAGACACTGGCATTCAGAATACACTTTTGCTTTTAAGAAATGTTAAAACACTGCTGATCTTGCTATTCTGAATAAATCCTATCCAGACCAACTTTCTGGGACTCTAAAACTTTGAGGTCTATCAGAGCCTGGGAAATTATTGTGAAGAACAGGCCTTTGAATACAAAACAAGATAATGTTCTTCTATTTTTTGTGTAATATAAGAGCATCTGTTGTGTGGCCTATTTTCTTTTTATAATGATCAGTCTACTGATTGCTAAAATGGAGTCTAAGCCATCCACTCTGAAAAGGGAACTTTATGTTATATGTGAGATGGGGTGACCATCAGTTCACCAACTCAAGAGTGCAAGAATTTAACCCTTATTATTTCTGCAACTGCATTTAATTTCGATTTTGAGCCCCACTCCACCAAGGGCACCAAATGAAATCTCAAACAGTTCTAGTCTCCTTCCCAAAACATGCCCCCATATTTTCTCTAGGGTTGTATCTAAGTCCTCAGGCACCAGGGAGAGGGCCCTCCTGTCCTTAATAGACTTGTCCACACAGGAGACTGCCAACATGTCCTCATTTCCATCATGCCCTGGTGACCACCTTGCCTTCATTAACACAACATGGTCCTTTGAATTTGTAACTATGCATTGGAAACATCTGGCTCTTATGTGGATAACTCTCAGGCTCTCTCAAGCCCCTCTGCCCAGACACAGCACCTAGACATTACTACTCAATGCTTTTGAGTCACTCTGAGTTTGTAAGAAGGTAAATGTTTCCCAGGTTTGCAGAAACCCTAAGCCATAATGGGATTCTTGCATTTCTCAGCCTGTCTTCTCCAGCATTTGACTGGGCCAATGCGAGGAAAGAAAGGGGTTTTCTCTCAAGGGTACTTCAGTGTCTAACTTCTCTTCCTTCCCTCCAACTCTCTTCCTCTATTTCAATTCCAGAGGCTAACTGGGCTCTTTCTTAGTAGTTCTTCTAAATCATTTGTTTGTGGCATATGGTAGATTAAAGATTATGTTTCAGTTCCAGCAACACACAGAGCTGCCTCAGAGTCTCAAAGCTAAATTCCTAGGATGAAAACTGGGTTGCAGTTGAGTCGGGTGGCTCACTGGACCATGGCTGGAAGGTGGGGGTCTGCAGTGCAACCATGGCCAGCAGAGCCCATCACGCCTGGGCAGGAGGTGAGAGAGATCGAGCAGTTCTCGGAGAAGGAACCACTGTGAATGGGGCAGACACTCCAAAGTTGTCTAATGGGTAAAGTGTCTCCTATCCAACAGATGTTCAAAATCGTAGCCATTATGAGAAAGGCATTGAGTAACATTATCATTCTTAGTTTAATGACCAGAAAAGGCTCTATTCAGCAGGGAACACCTCAAAGACATTCTACTGGGCAAAAATTTAAGAACTTCTTTCCTCCAGGCCCCAGACTATCACGTGATCTCACTCTGACCTGGTGTCTGTTACCAAGTTCACATTTCGTTTCTACTTCAGTGTCATAATCATGGTTTGAGTATAAGCTGATAAACTGTTGGCAATTTGAATATGAAGGTTCTTCTCAATTACCCTTGACCATCAGCAAGTGAGGGGGGCGCCCCAGACTTGCTTGTGGCCACAACCTCTTTGATACCATTAGGATTAGTAGGATTTTTTCTTTTTCTTTCTTTCTTTTTTTTTTAGGTAGGATATTTTTAAAGTATATCAAAGGATTTTGTCTGGGATTCCTAACTGGTTAAGGTGTTGTTGTTTTTTCTTTCTCCCCTTAATTGAATTACTTATCACTGTAAGTTTAACAACCTCCTTGAAAGACAGTTGGCAAAGGTAACTGAATGGAATCGTTCAACTCTGCTGTTCTCAGTGGGAGCTCTACCCACCACTCCCTTTAAAGAAAAGGTTGCAGTGTATTATGCTAAGTGAAGTAAGGCAGATGGAAAAGGAAAAGAACTCTATGATTTCACTCATATGTGCAATATAAAGCCAAAAAGAAAACATATGACAAACAAAACAAAAACATACGCATAGATACAGACAATGGATTGGTGGTTACCAGAGGGGAACGGGGTGGGAAGAGGTAAAATGGGTAAAGGGAGTCAATTGTATAGTGATGGATGGAAACCAGACTTTTGGTGGTGAGCACACTGCAGTGTACACAAATATCGAATTATAATGTTGTACACCTGAAACTTATATAATGTCATTAACACATGTTACCTCAATTAAAAACATAAAATAATAATAAAAAAGGGTTTGGAATCTGACACAATTGCACAGAGCCAACAAGAACATTGCAGATGTTTAGAGCTCTAATGGGTCTTGTTGGTCATTTAGTCCCAATTCCTCCTTAAGGATGAGAAACTGAGTTTCAAAGAGAAGAAATGACCTTCCAGAGAGCGTACAACCACCAGCGGGAGAATTGGGCTGGAACTGATGTTCAGTCTGGGGCCTGAAAGTTAAGTGCCTTGGACAGTAAAAGTCAAAACTAAGTCTAAAAATGAAGTGGTGAATTGAGACAAAATCATTTTTGTTTCAGAATTATTAATGTTGAGAGAGAGAGAGTCTGTTCCTAAGGAGAAGTTCTGGTTTAATAACTCTCCTTCCCAACTTCTTTCATTAATAATTGAATAGTTCAATGTCAAAGGCAATTAAGTATATAGATAAGACACTAAAATAAAAAAAAAAAAGGTTTAAAACAGATCATCTTTTATTTGAATACTAAATACATTCTTTTAGCACAGAGTGTGCTGATGATGTATTCTTTTAAGGAAAAAAATAATGTTGGCAGCAACACAATCAAAATGCAAAACATATAATTTCTAATATAATATAAATGACATAGATATATCAGCATTCTCTGAGGTCCACTGAGGGCAGTGGTCGGCAAACCGCGGCTCGCGAGCCACATGCAGCTCTTTGGCCCCTTGAGTGTGGATCTTCCACAAAATACCACATGCGGGCGCGCATGTACAGTGCAATTGAAGTTGGTTTTCGGCCTGGGCGAGTCTATTTTGAAGAAGTGGCATTAGAAGTGGGGGGTGTCGGTCGGTCGGGCGACGGGAGACGCAACGCAGGCGGGCCTCGGGATACGCAGCGCGGGGGAGGCACGCGCCATTCATGCACGAGTTGAGTGAGCCAATCAGTCAGCAGTCTCATTGTGCAGATTGTGCAGTGGTTAGTGCTAGTCACGTCCACAAATTGCACGCGGGTGACAAAAGTACCTACTCAAAGAATAAAGTTACCTGTATTTTTCCAACCAGCTGCAAATCCTACAGATATTTTTGTCATCAATTTAAGAATTGTAATTCTTTTGTGTTGGTGGCTTTATTATTATAAAATGAAACATTTTTTTAGGTGCCCTGTTTGAGATGGCTACAAAGAAGAAGCAAAGAAAAACAGAAGATGAAAACCGTGAATTTACAGTTGAATGTACCTACCTATATAGTTTAAGTTTAAAAAATTTGGCTCTCAAAAGAAATTTCAATCGTTGTACTGTTGATATTTGGCTCTGTTGACTAATGAGTTTGCCGACCACTGACTTAGGGCATTCCGTCATCTGATACGCTGCAGTTTCATTTACATTCACTTCAGATGAGTATTTAGAATTGTCAAGAAATACCACATACATAAAACTAGACATAGCAAATGAAAAAGTATATTACAATTTATTAAATATGCTTTTTTAAAATCTTCACCTGAGGACATGCTAAGAGAGAGAAAGTGAGAGAGGGAGAGAGAGAGCAAAACATAGATGTGAGAGAGAAACATTGATCAGTTGCCTTCCATATGCTCCCTGACCAGGGATCAAACCCGAAACCCAGGTATGTACCCTGACCAGGACTTGGATCCACAACCTTTTGGTGCATGGGAAGATGCTCAAACAACTGAGTCACTCTGGCCAGGCTATTAAACACCTTTAATGAAAACAGTACCTGACAATTAGAAAACAAAGTTTTGTTCAAAAACAAAACAAACAACACCTCAGACTAGTGTTCATATAAGAGGTGACAGTATTTCTTTTGTTTCTAGTATTAAATAAGACACTTAACATTCCATACTGAAATTTATCTTCTGAGTTCCAAGAGTGTGTTCTGCCCGTTAGTGTAGAATGATGTCAATTCAGCTTTCAGTTCCTCCGGATTCTCAGAGCAGCAGTAAGACAAGTCTTAGAATCATCATGAGGCTGGATGAGAAGAAAGGCAAAGAAAGGGTGGCTCTTACACGGCTGAGACAGAAAGGGCCGCATGCTCCCCTAACTGTGGTGTAACTCAACCCTGCCTCCCAGGCTTCTCCCAGACTCCTACCGTGGGAGCAGGGGTGACCTCATTATCCCTGCATTCGAACTTCCCAGATTTGCCTGAGTTAGCCATTTAAACATGTTCACTCAATGAATGAGAAAAATCAGAACTCGCTGTTCTAAAGATCTGGGATAAAGCTTTATGAGAGAAAGGTTTCTAAAGAAACACACACCTTTCAAAAGCTTGTAAAGTTAAGCAAGTTGAAAAAATAATCAAGGAACAATTCTGAGGAGTAATTGCCAACTCAGCTACTTTTCATTGTTTGGGGTCTTGTCTTTTTTCTTTTAATAAACAAGTTTTCTTTTTACCATCAGAACTGAAACTACTGACAGTCATTTCCCTAAAATAGGGACATCAACCTAAGACACATTCTGGTGGTTTTCAAAAGACAGCAATTTAAAAGGGTGGTAGCAGCAGGCATTTCATATCTTTGGGGTCTTGTGTTCTTGACCCGTAAACCCTACTTCTGATTCTTTCCACCACCAAGTATCATTTTTAGACAGGCCTCAAACTGGAAAGCAGTCTTTGTAATCACACTTTTCTTCCCCAAATCATAAACACAGCCACACTAGAAAATTCTACAGAGCAGGAGAAAATTACTCATTATGCTGCCACCCAGAGACAAACTCTAACAGTTTGAGGGATTTCCCTTCCGATCTTGGTTTTTCATGTACAAACTTTTAAAAATTGAGATCACAGAATATTTGTTATTTTTTATCCATTTAAATAATCTCTCCTTATCTTATTAAGATTTTCCAATGCCACTAAATAGTTTTTTAAAACATGACATGTAAAGCCTGCTCAGTATTCCATTAAGGGGACGAACATTTACTGAAACATTTCCTTATTGGTGAATTTTTAAGTTGTTTCTAATTTTTCAGTTTATCATGTTTTGCGTTAGGAATAAAGTCGCAATAAACACCAGACATTATATACATCTCATTATTTCTTCAGAAAAAAATTTCAAAAGGCAAAAATGTGTATCAAAGGAAATGAACATGTTTTATGGCTTTCAATATATTAAGGCAGGTTTCAGGAAGAATTAAAAATGTAACCTATATGCCCAGCCGGTACAGTTCAGGGGTTGAGTGTCGACTTATGAACCAGGATGTCACAGTTCGATTCCCAGTCAGGGCACATGCCCGGGTTTCAGGCTTGTTCCCCAGTAGGGGGCATGCAGGAGGCAACTGATCGATGATTTTCTCTCATCATTGATATTTCTATCTCTCTCCCTTTCCCTTCCTCTCTCTGAAATCAATAAAAATACATTTTTAAAAAGTTACATTGAGCTGGATAGAAACAGTAGTGCTATGCACCTCTGTCAAAAAACATATAACTATAAATTTTTACTTGGTAACATGCTTAATCTCATGGATAGAATTACCGGGATCAAATGAAGAGAAATTTGAAGCTCCCTACTGATCTATTGGGAAAAAAATATTGTTTTCTCCCTTAAAAACTCGAAATACTGCCTCACATGGGTAAATCTTGAGAAAAAATGAGACTTAATTGAGTTCTTTATTCTGAAAATGGTAAAGCGTACATGTGATCAAATACTACAGCAACACTAAGTATATTCAATATAAATGTTCCTGTGCACATCTGTCCCAAAGACTGACTGCAGGCATATTTTAAGGGTTCACAGTCATGCTTATTGTAAAAAAAAAAAAATTACTTTGATGTTTCAAGTTAACAATGACTTTTGCCCAAAATTCAGCATTTCAAAATGAGGTGCAGAGGAAAATGTACATTAAAATAGTTTTTCTTACCTTAAGCCTGCCACCAGCCCAGCTGGGATTATTTTCTTGGATCTCTTAAACCGCACACCCATTATGGTGGCCAGAAAGAAAGCTGCAACTAAAAAACAAACCAATACATGAATCAGAGTTGCAAACACCTCACCAATGCCTGCTTGTGAAAAAAAAAAGGGATATCATTTAAGCTTCCTAATATAACAACTATTATGCATAGGTATTGAGTTGCTATTTTCTTCAAAAGATGAAAAGCTCTATTAAAACACTTAACTAGCTCATTAAAAAGGTTTGAGTAAACAAGCATGTTAAAATCCATTCTTGAAACACCTTTAAAAGGAAGTCTTTTTCTAACTTAAATTTCTATTTACAGAATACTCCTTGAGGACTAGGACTGCTGGCTTATTCAACTTTCCTCAGGAACTCTGGGCAGAATACTGCCACCCACTGGAGACACCCAACAAATGTTTAGGTAACCGAATGTAAGGAAAATAATTATATATTTTTTAAAGTAAGACCTGATTAATAAAATAATACTATTTTAGTATTTAGAAGAAGGCGGAATTTTTTGTTTTGTACCATTCCAACAAACTAAGCAATAATATTACATTTAGAAGCATCATATCAGCTACCCCCCAGGTTCGATGCTCCATACCTGGAAAATGTCTTACTTACACAGAGACACTTTCACATCTCGCTTGTCATTGGAGACACGGTAAGCTCCATAGCCAGCCAAAAGTCCAACAAAGAGACCAGCAATCAAAGACGGAATACTACCTGGGTGGGGGATGGGGGGGGCGGGGATGTATGGGCACAGAAAGAGAATCAGAAAGTGAATTATGTCAAGTATGATACATTCACCTTCCAGTGTATTTCTACTTGGGCATTGCAACTGGACGTAGCCAAACTGAATACAGGCTTATTTGTGGATAGTCTGTAAGAAATGACTGTTTCATGCCGAATCCCAACTCATTTGAGGGAATAAGAAAGTCTGCCTTGTAGTAGTGGTTTTGACATTGACTGCATGACCTGGGGCAACCGGTTGACTTTTGTCCCTCTCTTTTTTATCCCTATTCTCCTTGTCTCCATCTCTTTACTGTGAGGTTGTGATGATAAAAATAAGATGCAGAGGTATTTTTAGCTTATAGGGGTAGAGAGAGAAGTGCTATGCAAACCAAGTGCTGGCTCTATCCTGAATTAAGAAACCTTCCAGCCTCAAGATGCCAGGACTCAGGGATGAATGGTGACTACACTGAGAAACTCGAAGAACCAGGGCACTGACGCAGCCTGCCAGCCCCCAACCTGTCCCTCCACGGCACCAACACTGAGCACTTTCTGTGCGCTGGGCTCCGTGCCGGTGACACTAAACAAGACACACATTGCCCTGCTTCATGGAATTCACTCTATTGAGAATCTGCTGAATTGGAATCCCTAGGAGTAGGGTCACGGTAGCTCTACTTTTTAAATATCCATAGGAATTCAGATTGCAATTCAGATTAAGAATCAATCAATCTCTCTCTCTCTCTCTCTCTCACACACACACACACACACACACACACACACACAGACACACCTCAGTTGCAACAGCATCCTGAATGAGAAGCCAAATGCCCTAGGTTCTCTTTTACTTATTGCCTGAAGGACTTTGGCTAAGTCACTTGGCCTCTCTGAGTTTTGTCAATTGCAAAACAGGGTTAATAATATCATCTATGTCACATACATAAAGGCTTAGAATGTTACAGTTACATATAGTATTAAATTTTTCATTGCACCCCTCCCCCCAAAGCTATCCTCTAAACACAGTAACATGACCTTTTAAAAACATACACTGGACAGATCACTCCTCTAATTAAAGACCCTCTGGTTTCCCACTACACTTAGGAAAACCCCAAGTTTTCTCTATTATTGGAGCTCTGGCCTTCTTTCAGTTCGCTGAATATGCCAAACTCTGTTCCTCATGGCTTTCACACATGCTGTTCCTTGCCTGGACTGCCCTTCCCTGCACTGTTCACCTGATCAACTACAGCTAACCTTCGGATGTCATCTGAAGCGTTAGTTCCTCAGAGATGCCTTCTCTGACCCATCCTTCCGAATGAGGGCCCCCTTTAGAGTCTCCCATTAATCGTCATCGGATATTTAATGTCAGTCTCCCCCACTCACTTGTGAGCGCCATGTCTTTTTTGCTCACTGCTGTCTTCCTAGTGCCCCAAACAGTACCAGGCAGCATTAGCTAAATACGGATGAAATGCATGCCTGGGTGCTCCCTGTCATTGGGTCAAGCGGAAGTCGGATAAGAATATGGTTAGGGAGAATATTTTATTTAATCCTAACAGATTCACTTAAAATGAAGAATTGAAGCCCAGAAGTTAAAACAACGTATAAGAGTATGAAAGCTAGTAAGTGGCAGTGTCAAGAGCAGAACTCAGGAATGCATGATTCTGTGGTTATTCTCTTAACACACATTATGCTATAAGAGTGGGCTTCCTTGTGAACATATAATACCCTCAGGGGCTTCCAGGATCACTTAGTGGGGGCTCTTACAGGAGGCCAAAGAACCCCCTGAAATCAGAAACCTTACAGCTAATGTGATTGCATATGTTCCTGATGAGATTTGGGCTAGAATAGTAAAGTAATCCCCTCCCTTTCTCTCCTCCCCGACCCCGGCATACACACACACACACACACACACACACACTCTTCCTTCATCCCACCCCTCTTAAAGTCAGGCAAAAATGTCCAGATGATCTTTCCTATTCTGTAGTCGAGGTTATTTAAACATGTCTTTGACAATGAAAACATTTTTTCAATAACAATCCTATTAGGATTTTACACTGAGTGCTCTTTAAAGTAGATTATGAAACATCAACTTTTATGTAGTTGTTCGCAGGTCTTAATTTGGTGCCATCATTATTCTCCCATCAAATGCATATCCACAGCGCTGTACATATTGGGAGAGAAAATACGAACAACAAAAACCTCAGGTGAACTTCAGGCTCTCAGGAATCCCAGCAGAGACCTGTTCGCACCTGCCAGGCCCTCAGTCCCCCGGGGAACTGTGCTCTGGCCTTGGACTTCTCATTGATCTCTAAGGAAGGAAGTAACCTGATAACTGCATAGGCCTGGCTTTTTCACCCAAACTCAAGTCCACCAATGCCAGAAATACAGCATCTTTAAAATATGCTTCATTAAAAACAGTTTCACAAAAACATAAGGAAAATATGAGACACCATGACTATAAATGCTTCTACCTTAAAACAAAGTAAAATATAAAACCTGACCTTTCATTGTTCTCCATGAAAACCCTTTAATTTATCAACTAGGTTTTTTTTCTTCTTTTGGACAGAGATGGAGAGATAACTTGAGATATGATATTTAAGAAGTCAATGAATTTTCCTTTGCAACACATGATATCAACATAATTCAGTTTCTGACACTATGACTATGTAAACAAAAAATGTCCTCAATTGCTAATAAGTGAGCAGTCCTGAGGAGGTTAAATCAATTAGTTATGCGACTGATAATGACAGGTAAAATGAAAATTTTGTAATGAAGAGGGACCCAGAACCCCCAGGTTGAATGCTCTATATGCCCAGTCCCCTATAACCCCCTTCCATCCAGGAATCCCTTCCACTGCTGGTCCCCAGCCACCTCTAGGACATCTTTAGCTTCTTGTCCTACTTCCAGGCCCCCCGCTGCTCCTTGTACAATCAGCAGCCCCCACCAAGGCATGCTGATGAAAAGGGCTTACCTCTCCGCTTATACCCCACAATACTTCCAAATGTCACAAAGGCTGCATAACCAAAACCAACAAGGTCCATTGGCAAGGCTGCAGTCGTAGAGCAAGGGAGAAAGGACAACTTCTACAAAATAAAAAAGAGTTTGGGAAAGCAAATGTATATAAAAGTGATATACATTACTCAGAATTATAGACATTGATTTCTCTACTAAAAAGGGGAAGCTAGATCTTCACTCATCCAACACTCAGCCTCTGTGTACCACGCTCATCCCCCTCAAGCCCACCCGGGAGACACCCAGGTTGAGTCTCCTTTCCTGGTCTTCCAAACCTGCTGTTCCTTCAGCTGTTTACTTCCCTTCCACTTCTGCTGGTTAGCCAGGTCTCCTCCCTGGAGACAACACCGAAATCTTCGCTTAATGCAGTGGTTCTCAACCTGTGGGTCGCGACCCCTTTGGCGGTCGAACGACCCTTTCACAGGGGTCGCCTAAGACCATCCTGCATATCAGATATTTACATTACGATTCATAACAGTAGCAACATTACAGTTATGAAGTAGCAACGAAAATAATTTTATGGTTGGGTCACAACATGAGGAACTGTATTTAAAGGGCCAGAAGGTTGAGAACCACTGGCTTAATGCCTGGAATGTCCGCCTCTTTCTCACCTACAAATCCCCACCACCCCCGACAGCCCACCCCCTCTTGACTATCTCCCAACCTCCTTAGTCACTCTAGCCTGGTCTGGAGCCATCTGCTCCTTTTTCTAAATTCCTTGACGTCAGCAACTCCACCTTATAATCCTTTCATCTTTGAACAGGTATTTGTCCCTCCATCCTCCTCACACCGAAGAATGAAAAAGGGGTAATATGGATGCTTGTTTGTTGACTGAACCACAGCTTCACTTTAAACACATGCTTTGTCTCGGGCTTTGTTATGAGACAGCTTGTCTGGGGGCGGCAGAGACATCCACGCTTAATCAATGGTAAGTCACCAAAGAATATAACGAAGCCCTGGCACAAAGTTAACTGAATGACAACGATATCCTATTGTGCTTCACAGCAGCAGGTGAAGCGTACATCCAGGGGTGAGAGGCTCCACAGAAGTCCTGCCCACAGGTCTCTAAGATGCAGGGGAAAGTATACGGGCTGCAGGCTGGAGACATGACACTGGTCACTAGCTGGCTCTTGGTTCTGGCATCACACCCCATCCTTACAACTCCTCTGAGAGTCCCTATAGTGCTTTATACCTTAACTTTTTTACATCGATATTTCCTCCACGGGAGGAGGAGGGGGAATAATTATCCTTGTATGTACGAGGAATGATGTATGATATTTCACTGCATTCTCAGTTTTCTCACCGCTTGTCATTTAGGTTAACCCGGTCTTTTATTTCCTGAAGCACTTGGTAACAAATTGACTCAGAAGGATGGAAAACAGGCTGTAAGCTTACCTCGAGGGTAAGCTAGAACTTACTGTGCGGAAGGGTCTTTGGGGAGGAAATCCGGGGCACAGGAGGAGACGATGGCCCTGAAAAGGAGGCAACACTGAAAAATCCTCAGTATCTGTGGGAAGAAGAATGAAATAAAACAGGGGAGCTCATCTGTGCCCAAGAAGCAGTGCAGTAAGACTGAATGTGTAGGAAGGACCTGAGTTCAAAAACCATTGTTGACTAAGTGATGGAAAAACAAACAATGAGGATAATGTTACGAGCAAGTACCATGTGCTAGGCACCATTCTAAGGCCTTACATGTTATCAACCCATTTAATTATCACCACAACCCTCTGCAGTAAGTACCACCATTACTATCCCCATTTTCCAGATGAGGAGAGGCACAGAGAAGGCAAGCAACACCTCTGAGGTCTCACAGCAGAAGCAAGATTTCAGACTCAGAGAAGTCTCATCCCTAGACACTATAATGCCTTTCGTAACTGAGCTTTACTGGCCGAAAAAAAAGTGAATATACAACTGAAACAAATGTTCTTTAGAGTTTTAAATTCTGGATTAATCACTCCACTTGGCCTCATAGCTTAAAAGTTGTGAGCGCATGGCACTGTCTTCCATCTGGGGACTTACCATCTTCAGCCCAATGAGCACCTCATGTTCAGTCCTACTTACTATCTTTCTGAGAGAACTAACCATATTCCACAGTATATGGTTGGCTTCAAACCTGATGTCACCACTTACTAGCTGGGTGACATAAGACGCATTCATTAATCTCTGTGTATCTCAGTTTCTCCATCTGTGAAACAGGGATAATAAAAAATATCTACCTCATAGAGCCGTGATCATTAAATGAGTTAATACCATAAAGCACTTAGAACATACTGAGCACTCAACGAATATTAGCTACTCTAATAATGGTTATTCTTCTTGTTCACCCTCACACCCATTTTAAGCTTGATCTGAGAAAACAACTGAGGTTGGGTGAATTTATGATTCAGGCATTCAATAATGAAACGATAATATTGCAACTTATATTTATACTGAATTCCATTTAGCAACTATTTATTGAGCATCTTCTTTGCGCAAGGTGGTAGGAAGCAAAGCCCTCAGACATGGCCCTGGTCTTCCAGGACTTGTAATACAGCACAGAGGAGGAGGCAGAGACATGAATGAGCCCTAAGAAGAGAGGCCTGAGAGCTTAAGGAAGGGTTCCTAGAGGAGGCAGAGTCCCAGCTGGGACCTTGGGGAGAATAGGAGTAATCGAAGTGAAGAGGGTAGCAAGGAAGGGCTTGTTGTAGGCAAAGGCCTCGTGGCATGAGAAACCATAGCATGTTTTTAAGTGGAAAGAATGGCAAGGGGGTTGTGAAAAGAGATGGGGCTGGTGAGAACGACAGGGCCAGACCAGCTATGTGAGGGAGTCTGGTTTCTGTCTCAAAGACAGCAAAGAATGAATGAAGGGAGCCCCACGAACAGATTTAATGCCAGCAAGCACTTCCTGGTAGCGAGAGATGTGTTGAAGCGAGGCAGGGGAATAAGCTCAGAGGCTGTTGCAGTAAACAAAGCATGAGATGATGGTAGCCTGGCCTGGAGAAATGGCAATGAGGGTGGAGAGAGGTGGACAGATATGAGAAAGGTTCAGGAGGTAGCACCAATATGCCTGGATGTAGAGGTGAGGGAGAAGGGTGAGTCAGAGATGATTCACCCTGGGTCTCTGGCTCAGACCATTAGGAGCCGAAGGGGTAGGGGAGCCTTGATGCTAGTCCCTGAAACAGGGGACACTGGAACAGCAGTAGGCGTGTGGTGGGGGAAGGAGGGAGGTGACCAGGAATGATGAGATCTGTTTGAAACATGTTCAGTCTGAGATGCCTGACACACAGTCGGGAAAACACCTATATAGACCTGACGCTTATGAGAGATCGCTCATCACCAGATAATAATCTGGGATTTAATTTTCCTAGTAAGCCAACCACCTGATGTGAAAGGCTGATTCGACTCCCTCCTCTGAGCCCCCACTTCTTCTTCTGATGCCCTCTTCTTCCTGGCATAGAGTTAGTTATGTTGGACTTACCTCTCCTCTCAGCTAGCCCAGATCCTTGAATATAAAGCTCAGGTTACATTCATTTTTGTCTTTCTCACAGGATCAAGCTCATTGTCGTGCATAGACAGGTTTTAGTAAATACCTGCTGAATGAATGAGTGGTGAGTGAGCCTAGGTAACAAACTGTCTGAAGACGTGGTGTCACTGACCTACCCTCAGTATAGCTCTAATGCAAGGAAACAGCCAGCCCCTTAATCTCCTAGTGAACTGAGCATTGTTTTAAGGAGGGGAAAAATATCTATTTCCAATCTTTGCAAGAAGTTTCTGTACTCACAGAGAAAATCCCAACAAAAAGCAATCACCCTTCTTTCTCCTGTTCCATGGCACGACCATTTGAGCAACGCAGAAGCACACATGAAAAGCTTCATCAACATGAAGGGATGGGGGTGGGGGGGGTGGGGAGAGAAGATGTGGGACACATCGCAAAGGAGATGCTCAGCACTTAGAAGGGCCAGAAAGCATCTTGGGTGCAATGCAGCAAAATGACTTTGTGCACCGGGTACAATCCAGGTGACAGAGTTCTGCCTTGCCCCTAACCCTCCAAAATTTGGGGACCCCAATTAGAGGTTTTCTGTAAGCTACCATATAAAAAGCATTTTCACATGTTGAATAACAACAATTACCTAACTCCGCACTCCTTGGGGCTCGAAAGACACATTTTCCAGTGAAACCTGGGTGATACTAGGAAAGTAAAACCCTGCCTCGCATTTTTGCAAAGATCCACGAGCCCCACCCCTACACCCACCTCTCCCTGGCTCCAGGAAGGTGGGAGGGAGGCCAGGTGGGAGATTCCGGACCTTGAGGAGGAAGAAATGTGGGGAGTTCCCAGGACGGTTAGAGAAGCGATCCCTGGAACCCCCATCTCCTGAAGAAACCTGCCAAGGTCCTCTGCATGGCTGCTTGGCTGCTGATTTCTGCGCCTTTGCGAGAAAATTCAGGGCAGCAAGTGCTCCACGGCAAGGTGTACAACTCACCTACAGCCCCAAGTCCTCCCAGGAGCCAGCAGGAGCGAACTTCGTACCTGAAGTCCGGAAGTGGTCCTAGTGGCCTGCGCCCCACTTTGCGGGATCTCGACGGCGGCGGCGGGTTCTGGGCGGTGCCTTCCCCAGGCGCGCATGCGCAGCGTCCCTCCGTCCACGGTCAAGTGCGTCTCCGCCCCGCCCCGCGGAGGGCAGAGGGCCAGTCAGGTAGGCCTTCAGCATCCCGTCCGGCCGCTCGTTCCATCTGCCCTGCTTTTGCTCTGGCCCTGAGCCTGAGGCTGGGGTCTGCTGCCTCCTGCCGGACGGACGGAGCGGAACCTACAAGCATTCGCAGACGGTGGGTCTGGGTGCTGTAGCAGGAATCCCAGAAGGAGATTTTAACCCTGAAGTTCATTCATCATTCTAGGGGCTTTTGTGTCCAGCACCCCACGCCTGTTACTTACTCTCCAGAAGATCGTTTCCGTTTTCAGTGGAGGGAGCTGAAGTCTCCGTGGGGTGCAAAGGTGAGGGCTCAGGCTTGTCAGGTTTCAAAGCCCAAGCACCCTTCATTACCCACCATCTAAGGGGTCATCTAGATGTGACAGGGCGGTCAGGATCCTAGTTTTATCATCCAAGCCCAGGATTAGGTGGGCTTAAGTATCTGAGGGGAAAGGTATAGAGTGCCAGAATTGGATAAGCCATTTCCAGAAAGAAACTTAACTTGACTTTGGAATTATACCTTCTCATAACTTCTCATCTCACCCTGGTATTGCCTTCTAGGGCTAGGCCATTTCCTTACATAATAGCCCATGATATATTTGTCAAAGGCTGTCATCTAGTAGTCACCAAGCGGCATTAGGGGTGCTGTGGGACTGTGAATAATAGATTTCTCTTTTTTTAAAAAAAGCTAAAATATACATTGAATCTTGTGAACTTTGCTGAATCTATTCCATGTGCTTAAAAGGACTTCTGAGAAGTAATGTGACTAACCTATGAGAAATCTAAGTTGGTCCTAGGGAGTTACGACTCCTCAAGATGCATAGGAGAGTGGATGCCAGGCACTGGAATGTGGGTTGGAGGAAGTGGTGCCCTGAAGAATGGCTCTGAGTTCTCCCAGAGCTCCTTTCCATCCCCTGCTCTTCCCATCCTCTCTCTTTCCCCCTACCGCCACCCACTCAGACTACCAGCACACTTTCTCTATTCAGAATAAAACTAAAACCCTCTGGGAATGCATCATTTACCTGATGTAAACCCTGGTAAATAACTTCCCCTGACCTTCCATGCCTGGATTTAAGATGCTGCTCAGATTGGATGCCCCCTGAGATTCCCTGTCACAGAGGTATTCAAAGGTAAAAACAGCCTCAGGATATTCCTACTCAAGGCATTTTCACCTAAATGTCGAAAAACAACTCGTTGCATGTTACAGAAATGCCATACCCTTGGACATGTGGAAACAGGAAGGTCTTGGGCAAAGGGGCCATTGTCCTTTCAACTCATATGCCACCAGCTGCCACCTACTCCAGCTAATGGTAAGGTTAGAGCGCCAGGCAGGGGTACATCAAAGCTTACTGACCTCTACCTATTTGTAAAGCTTTCTATTCATGATCCACAGCAGAGACACTAACTTCCAGTGTGCCACCAACCCCTTTGGCAGTCTGGAGAAATGCACAAAATAGATAGGATTGCCAAGGAAGCCAATTTTATTGATATACAGTTATCAAATTATTAAACACACCTGTGATATAATAGATGTGCTTCTTTATAAAATCACACAATCTAGGAGTGGGTTTAATAATTACCATAATTTCCAATAGTGGTACACATAAACAACAGTTTGAGGTATCATTAACATGTGAATACCTAGTGATGACAGAGTCACAGGTACTAATATTGCTGTAGTTTGCAGCCTATTTTCCCAATGAAAAGAAATGCTAAATTTTAATTCGAGACTAATGGAAATAGAGCTTTCTTTTTCCTATCCAAGTTCTCAGATCTTTTGATTTCCATTCCCAGGCCCCTCAGGATTTGGAACTCCCAATTTATGGAAATGTGAGTTTTCAGAAGTTGTATATACATGGAATTGGAGAAGGGGAGAGCAAGGTTGAGGGCCCAACTGGCAGACTGGCTGCTCAGGCAGATTCTTCCTGGATGTGTATACCTCAGTGAGTGTCCTGAGCCTGGTCCTCGTTTCCAAATGTGCAGAAACTCAGTTTGTATCGGTTCTCCCAGGGGCGCCCTGGCTTTGGGAGATGGATTCATAAAAACCAAAGTCACAGGAGACTTACTGATTTTTAAAGAAACAAAAGAGTCTGCTTCAGGTCCTTGACTCTTCTCTTCTTCCAGAACCCACATGGTTACTTATCATTTAGGCCTGTGCTCATCAGTAAAGGAAATTTTGAACAAGCATCCCAATATGTGTATAATTATTTCTAAATTAGACACATACTGCTGTGCTAAAATGCTAGGGGTATTTTAAATACAAAACAAAATAAGATACACAAGACTTTAAAGGGGGAATAAAAATATGAGGACGAATTAGATATTTCCTATGTTTAATAAAAATAACACATTTCTTTCTGTCCCACATACTAGAATCTTTTTATTCTTTCTGTCTCCTTTTCCAACAAATACTTTTCTGAACTGCCTGCAGCCTTCGGGACACCCTTCCTTTCTCTTATGCAGCGGTAACACTGAACACAGTCAAATGTAAAATGCACTCTGACTTGCAGCTCTGCTCTTCTCAGGCCCACATGACACTGACTCCTAGTGTCAGTCCAATGTGATGGCATTAAACTCTATCTTCTCAATAAGAATGTTTGAGCATGAAATATTTAGGATTTTACTTACCAGCAACAGCAGGTGTTTAGATCATAGGCATTTGTTTCCATTTCTCAAAAAAATGTCCACCCACTTTGAATCCACAGGTTTGTATTGATAGGCCAGCTGTTTGTCTATCAGGTCCTTTGCATCTATAAATTCATCATACAGGCTATCCATGTCTAAAATATGTCATATGTATGTATGTATGTATGTATGTATTTATGTTGTTTGTTAATCCTCATCCAAGGATATTTTCCCACTTATTTTTAGAGAGTGGAAGAGAGGGGGAGAGGTAGAGAGAGAGAGAGAGAGAGAGAGAGAGAGAAACATCAATGTGACACATCGATTAGTTGCCTCCCACATGTACCCCGACCAGGGATGGGGATTGAGCCTACAATCAAGTCCGTGTACTTGACAGGAATTGAACCGGAACTCTTCAGTCTTCGGGCTGATGCTTTATCCACTGAGCCAAACTGGCTAGGGAATAAAATATGTCATTTTTAAATGCTCTGAAGCACACTGGATGTCATCGTAAGTTAAACATCTTCTTCTCAGGGAAAATGGTTTTAAAGCTCAGAACTGGTGAAATTGAAGTTGAATTCCAAATAAGTTACAGTTCTAGTAAAGAAATTAAGAAGGTACTCTTTCACTTGGCTTCCCTTTTCTGTTGACATTTTTTTTTTTAATTCGGGAACAATCTTATATCAAACAGCTCAGGTGCAGCCAGGTTATTCTTTTTACAGGCTCTTTATGGCCTCTTCAAAGACCATCAAACAGTGCTGGGAAACAGCATATAAACTTCTATCTTACTGTAGTCCTTTTCTCCATTCTCATCCTCGATATATTTCCAAATCAAAAAGGATATTATTCTTGTCCCACACTTTGAAAATATGATTTTATGGTAGGCCAACATTTTAGCATGGTTTCTATGGCTGGGAGCAATGATGCCCATCTTGTAGGCACATGTCTACAGAGGTTATCTCCTTCCATTTCTATTGAGTAAAAAAACTCATTAATGCCGAAACCGGTTTGGCTCAGTGGATAGAGCACCGGCCTGCGGACTCAAGGATCCCAGGTTCGATTCCGGTCAAGGGCATGTACCTGGGTTGCGGGCACATCCCCAGTAGGAGATGTGCAGGAGGCAGCTGATCGATGTTTCTCTCTCATCGATGTTTCTAACTCTCTATCCCTCTCCCTTCCTCTCTGTAAAAAATCAATAAAATATATTTTAAAAAAAACTCATTAAGTGCTTCTTTGCATTTGATAAAAATGACCACAAACTTTCATTATGAAAATCTCAATATCACATTTAAGCAATCACAACCCTTTTTAGCGATGTTGTATATAAAATGTGCAGGTCATTGAATAGGTAAGATCTTTTCATTATCCCTGTTAAGAAGTTTATAGACTGTATGGAATTTGCCAAAATTTACATTTGTACTGTCTGATAAATATGCAGATAGATGAGTTTGCATTTGGAAAAAATATCAACAATCTTTTGTTTTATGATTTCAGCAGTTTCGTTAAATCCTCATAGGTATCAAGCCCACTACTTGAAACTCCATTTTCAAGTCAAAGTACCTAAGAGCTAGAGGGAACATTTTCTTGATCCATGATTTGGCTCATCCCTTGAGGTTGATATGCTGTAGAAAACATCATTGTTGGTGATATATGGCAAAATCAGCTCTACGCTCTAAGGGGCCAACACATCTGTTATCCAAATTTCTTCTTTTGTTTTCCCACAGGATATTTTACTTGCAACCTCTGAATCAGAAAATGTAAATTTACTCAGTTTCATAGATCAAGGGAACATATGATAATACATGTTTGTGTGGTATGCCCAAGCTAATTCATTCAGCAGCTGCTATTTTTGACTGAACACTGGTGTCTTTTGGAGACATGAAAACACTTTAAAAAATATTTCTATTGATTTCAGAGAGAGAGAGAGGGAGAGAGAGATAGGAACATCAATGATGAGAGAGAGTCATTGATCAGCTGCCTCCTGCACACTACTCACTGGGGATTGAGCCTGCAACCCGGGCATGTGTCCTTGACCGGGAATGGAACTGTGACCATGCTGGCTGGGCTGAAAACACTTTTGATTGGTTTAGAGGTACTTGCCTGCCTCATCCTGGACTTGTGAAATACAAGCTTTTACATCCCCTTCTCCACTGTATCCAATTGCAAGTTCTTTTCTCCATATGGTGCACTATGCTCTGTTTGGGTTATTTACTTCCTTAATCCATCTGTCATTAAAATAACAGCCATTCAGCCTTCTTTTTTGGTGATGGGATCATGCTTGCGTTGGTATTATAATTCTC